CATAACCTCATGCAAACTTTATTTGGCAACAACCACAGCAGAAAAGAAATGGAGAAAATTTTTAATTGTGATGAGAAAAATGTACTTTAGTATCTGCAGAGGGTTTCCTCTAACATGTATTAAAAATGTTTATTAGTAAAGTAATATTACAACTAGACTGGGCCAGCACACTCACTGTTCTTATGGACTAGAAGGAATGTAAAGCATATTACAAGGGAGAGCAAAAGTTACTGTGAGAAATTGAAACTTGTTTTTAAACAATGGTAAGTGTGCCAAGTGTGTTTCATCATTAAAGGGTTGGTTATTCTATTTTCAAACTGTGATTTTTACCAGACATATGCACTACTACTGGTGTGCTACTATGGGTTGTGTTCCAGAACAAACCTTCTATATGGCCATTGAGGTTTGTAGGCCCTACTTTAGCCAAACCTGTCAGTCATATGACCTCCACCTTGCAGATTTCAGTGGTCACTCGACGATCTTTCTGACAAATTGGAGCTGTGGGTGGTCTGATGCAGTCTACTTTTTCTCTTTTTCCAGTAGAAAGATGCTCTATATGCAGACTGATGGATGTCCAGTGGGTGTCACGTATTCAAACTAAGTTTTTAGACTTTAAAGAAGAAAATCGTACCTCAGACTGTTGGCATCCTGAGGTCTCTTCTTTGTGTGGCTAACCTGGCTGAGACCCCATGTCAGCCTGCTGTCTATTTCTCTATTGTGGAACAGCATTAATCAAAGCAGCAGCCAGTCACTGAGGAATGTGAAGCTGTGGCGCTGCTATGACTCACTACTTTACACATTTGCATGTTGCTTGTTGAAGGGCCTGGAGTGAGGGGCCTGCCTCCTTCCACCTCCCCTCCTCTCCCTCCCTCTGCTCCCTTCCCCCATCCCGTGCCAAGTGTTTAATTAAAACTTTTTTGTTTAAAACGCAGCAGGTTGGAGTTAAGCCTGACGCTGGGCTCAGGGCCTGGAGTTGCTTTTGGGATTTGGCCGTGGGTGGTGTGCGTGGGAGTGAGGGGAGGAGTAAGGCATTCATCGAGCTGCCACAGAGGCCTCCGCCAGCCAGATAGGTGCTGGATAAGCTCTGTCCAAATCTGCTCTCAACGGCGGGGGTGGGTGTGGAGGGGCATCAGTGGGAGTGACAATACATTGATCCCAGACCCACACTCATAATAATTCTGGACTGGACTGCAGGCTTGGCTCATAGTGACCTTAAAACTTTTTAATTTATGATTACACATTTTCTTTTTCTTTTTTCTTTTTTTAAAAATTTTGTTACAAATTTAAGATAAACATAACACAGCTGTTGTGATAGTTGGAAAAAAAAATTACATCTGAGTCTCACATGACTAGATATCAGGTGATTATTTAAAAGTAAAAAAAAAAAAATTTCTTATGTCAACTTCACGTGTATCTATCCAGCAAAGAGATTTCTGTAGGTTCAGGATGAGATTTAGCTGAGTGGAAGCAGTTGTATTGACAGGCTCCATCTTGTGTATTTAATATTTGTAGGAATACAAATGTTAAGCTCAAAAAGACACTGTGGTTTTTGTAGCAGTTAGTTGGATGCGTTGACTGCTACCAGGTCCTCGTTGAGTTTGCTAGGTACACATGGAGTCTGTAAACTGTAATCTCAGAACAAGTCATATCTGAAAAGGGAGATGAATCATGAACCATGAAGAGACATGTAGACTTACATTTATTATTGGTTTGATTCATTAGCAATGTTTTGACACATTTATGCAATATCAGATAATGTTACAGACAAAATAATGAAGTCTTGAACTTACAGAATTTCCAAAGGTGTTTTCAAAGTCTACCAAACTTTATCAAGATGGAGAATGGTATTCCTGCTGCAAACTAAAAACTGCATCATAAAAGCAGATGATGAGAAAGATTCCTGGGAGTGAATGTGAGACACAAAATAACCACCTCAGTTAATTCTGTTGGGGAAGTTATCTTTACTTCTTTTTCACCATGAAAATATAATAATGACACAAATGAGTATTGGCCCAGATCATAGAACCTATCATGACACTGTGACATTAGCGCTTGGATGTCAACACAGAAAAAAGGGAAAAAAATAATAATTTAGTGCATAACTGAATGAAAAAAAAAAGAAAGAAAAAAATGCATAATTTAATCTCAATTGTCATCATAAAGTTCATATTAAGTTGTTACCAGTTGGGTTTTGTTCAAATTTATATATATATATATATATATTTTATATATATTTCCATGATGCTACCTTAATTATTTAATTTGCTGACCAATACCTAAGTGGACTGAAGTGCATGATTGTGCAATAAGAATTCCTGAAAACCATATGAGTGTGGAAACAATGGCTGTGAGCAGTGATCTCAGTTTGGTGATCCAGTGGTTGGATGAGTCCAATCCATGACTCCATCCCAAGTTTTCCTCCCGTCACTCTCTGCTGGGGTGATTACTCTGCCTTACTCCATCCCTGCTTGGTCCCCTGAGAAACTCACACACACACTTTAACTCCAAAACGCACGCTGACACACATTCAGACCCAGTCCCAGTGGTCGGCCAACGGGATGCTGGTTCGCTCTTAGCAGCTAGCTTGGAGCAGCCTGGATGGAGCGCTGCAGTGTGCTGCATGGAGAACCTGTGCATTGACAGCATCACTTTACACTGACTGGAATCTTCAGCAGACTGCTTTATCATGGACTTTGGAAGACCTTGGTCCAGATATCAGAGGACGGTGCTGATCACCATGATGATGTTCAAACTGGGTAAGTCATCTCCTTCAACAAGTGCATGTACACATACAAGCAACAAGTAAACCAAATGGAGAATATTACATGATTACTGAAAAGGTAAAACATGCATTTATAAATGAATAAGGAAACACATATTTTCTCTGTAATTAGAAAACTCTCCAGGAAATTATTAGAAATAACAATAAACAATAACAATAAATTGCTACTACAAGTTTTAATGTCTCACAAATTTGAATATGTTAGTTACAACATATGTTAAAACTGCCTGATTTATACTGTGGCAGATGATAAATTAAGACAACTAAAAGTAGCTGTTTTTCCTGTGCCGTCCTCACGTGTGATGAATCTGGTGCAGCACCCATCCCACGATGTGTCTGGGTGTGTATGAGAAGGGATTGTTAGTCAACCTTATGAAACCCTGTTGACCTATTTTTCCCGTGACCTTCATTTGTGTGAAGCGTCTGAAGCTCGTTTAAATAGTGACAAGGATTGGCTGGGGGTGGCATTGTTAAAGATCACCATGGTAACGAGCTCAGTGTCCGACTGCACTGCTGCACAACTTTTTTTTTTGTCTCTGCTTTGAAAGGAGGGGGTGCTGCGTATTAAGGAGTGTGACAAGAGACCTGGCACTCTGCTTGTATTTTTCAAAGAAAAAGACACACATGAGAGGCAGCATTTAAGTGACAAGATGAAGAGGAGAAAGACAGGGACTGTACGGTGCAGGGTTTGCCTGTTTAGACTATTGTATTATTGAAAAGTGAATCAAAAACATAGTTGGAAGCAACTTGGAAAGTTGAGCAAGATGGAGTTTTTAGTGGAAAAGGTCCACAAATGTGAAACTGTTGCCTTTAACCAACCCAACAGCAGTGTTAGGAAAGAGGCAAACACACTTGACGAACTGTATTCAGTCACCTCCATCAGGCTCTTGAGTGCTGTCATTTCCAGATGATACACACACAGGAGACAAATGCATTTCTCACTGCAGTTTCATAATGTCAGTATAAAACTGTGACTAATTAAAAAAAAAAAAAAAAGTTGTCCTAATAGGTGTTGGAAGCTAGTGACATAAAAGAAAAAAATATGTGTAGAAAAACATTCACACATAATGTATATAAACCTAAAGTATTCTGCTTAGTAATGGAAAAACGCTTTCAAACGATGTGGAAGGAGCCAACTGATTGACTAATTGCTCTAAATACTCGTACTAATTGTGATGGAATTCAGTGTAGCTGTGATCAAGCCTTTAGATTAACTTTGACTTAGAAGTGATGCAGTGTTGGCTGTGGTCCTCCACTCCTTTGTTTTTTCTCTCCATCCTATATATATGTATATATATATATATATATATGCATAAAAAAATATATATATATATTATTTTTTTCTTGGATGTATTTTCTTAAGATGTATGTCCAGACTCACTGTGCAACTGTGACCAAGTCAGAGAGGATTTGTGCATTTTTCTTGTATAAAACAAAGCAGCCACCTGCTGTGGAGCCTTTGGAACACAAAGCTGAGGCCAGCCAGAGCTGCCAGTCTCTTGTGGTGATTCAGTAAAATTCCTCTAAGCTCAACTTGTGTGTTAGCCAGGGGCTTCCCTTTCTCTATGATTCACAGTGTTGCTGCTTCCGCTGCCTTGCAGCAGGACTTTCTGTTGACTTTATGTTTCTATTGCCATGACTCAGAGTGAACACTTTCCTCTCCTGCCTTTTACACCTGCGAAGTGTGAAACAAAATCTGATCTATAAAATCTCTGAAAGACTTAAGTCATCTTAATAACGCTGATCCTGTGTGCTTCACAAGTGTCACATGTTATTACAACCGTTGACTTCCTTTGTGTGTGTGTTCATGCAAGAACACACTGTGAGAAATTATTGTCGTCATATTTAGGCTGTGTGTTTGCACAAGGTGTTTCTTGCTTTAAAGACTCATTTCACAAAGGCTGACCCTGTAGTCTACCATGTCCAAAATGTAGCAATTTTTGTCAATATTTTAATAATTGGCAACTAAAGCAAAATACAAACAAGCAGAATGTGTGCATTTTTGGGGGACTATTTTTATCTGAGGATGAAAACATAATTGGTGCTGCAGTGAGCATTTTGGCTGGTGTGTGTGCTCATAGTAATGAATGAACAAGTTATATAACAGTGTGGCTCATTGGTGAGCTTTAGGACACATGGAGCTCAAGATTATGTGAAATGCTTTACTTTATGTACTGAAGCACTACTTGGGTTTGCACTACTGTACAAGACTTGGGGGGAACCTGATGAGAACCCATGCTGCTCAGGGAGAACATACAAACTCCACACAGACAGACCCCAGGCCGGGACTCTCGCTGTGAGGCAACGGTGCTAACTACTGAGCCACCGTGCAACCAGAGTGGTAATGTGTCTTTGTTAAAGCAAACTCTTCTCTATAGAGACAGCTGTGGTCTCTGGAGAGTGTAAGCAGTCTGATCCTGACATCCCTCTACCTGCTCACAGCTCTGCACTGTGTTATTGTTGGCCTGAGATGCTAGTACCAGTCAGTGCCGGGGATCAACGCTGTCTGGACATAATCTATGAAGTGCTCAGTGATTGTGTAGGAGGAGCAGCAGTTATCAGTTCCCTGGAATGTGTGAGGGGTTGATTGTGTTTGGATGAAGAGGTGAATAGTGAGGAGATTCCTGCTGTCCTTGTCAGCCCACTTCACATCCATAAGGCTACAGGTTGACTCTCTGAACCTAAAAAACCAATTGGTGGGTTTAAAAGACATGTTATATAAAAAAAATAAAATAAATAAATCGCCAACATTACACCAATTGTTATTGCCAGAAACAAAAAAAAATGGACAAAAACAGCAAAAATGAATCAATTTCATCAGATTATGTAAAATACAAAACATTTCTGTGCTTCTCAGTTTTAATGAAGAATCAATTAGTGACTCAATGTCATGACAAATATTCAGGGACCTCTTGGCTGAACTGCAGGATGTGTTTACACAGACCAGAGGGGAGATAAACATGGAAACAAATTAAAAAATGTAAGTTTAAAAAAATCTATAGTGTGTAGACCACATTTTATTTTTTATTTTTTTTTAGGATTGGTAACACTTAGGCACTTGAAAAAATAATGTATATGCTGATTTCAGTTTCCATGAACTTTGCAAAATGTTGTAAATTCCTTTTTTTTTTTTTTTTCAATTTCTGTGAAAGAAAAAAATCAAAGAAAATCAGCTGTAGTTTGTTTTTCACTTTTTATGATTTATGGCATTATAACTGTGTCATACTGCACACTAGAGATTTCTGAGTTCTCTCTACTTCTAGGCATGATTGTGCTGTTTCCATAGAAGTGAAGGACTTTTTTTTGTTGCAATAAGAAATCCACAGTGAGGACAAACATGTGACAGGAGCAGCTTGCTTGGGACTCTTTAGAAGCAACTCCTGGAAAGGATTTATGCTTATTTTAACATACAAGACCAAAGCAAACAACAAAACAAAAAGAAATAAATAAAAAGTCATCTCAGAACAAGTGGGAGTCAGCAGAGGGAGATAAAAGAGACCAATACAGAAAAATGATGCAAGACAGAGGAAATGATGCCACCAGAAATGGCATCACAGCTTGAGTTGAGATAAGGAGGAAGAGACATTAAACATACCAGCTCTGCTGTAAAACTTGAGTCACATACTGCAACATATTCTAATTCTGTTTGCATTTGGCTCACATGTGAAACACGGTGGCATCTTTTTTATTACTGTGTATAAGATTGTAAGATTTAAAATGTTAATATAAATAAATGACATCATCTAAAATTAACTGCATACTGTATACTTGTAATTGTAATAAACACATTAGAATCTGTTTAATACTAGTGTTTCAACTGTTTTTCAAAGGCAAACCTATTAATTGTAAAAGTGGATGTGGGCTACATTAAAGGCCTGTCAAACATAGATTTTGATGCAAAGTGACATGCAGAAACTCCAGCTACAATTGATGACTATGACTTTTTTTAGTTGAAAAGAACAAAACAAAACATAAAACGGTTTAATAAAACCTAATAATACAACAGTTTATAGCAGCATTAAGCCTAATTATTTGTAGTATAACATGTTTCCAGGTTTATAGGTCATTTCATTGTTTTTACATGTAAATATTTTCATAAAACATTCAAAATCTGTATTTTAATTGATAAAAAAAAAAAAAAAGAAATACCATATTTTCACAAGTGGGTATTTTTACTTATTTCACAGTTTTTCTGGTGACACAGAATTATTGGGGCACTTTTCTTTTTTAAGATTCAGTTTTACAGTGTATTTTAGGTTGTTATAGTTAAACTATATGGCCACTGGTATATGTGTTAATTACAAAGTCCTACAAAAAAACTATTGAACTACATAAAATAAAGCTTGGAGGGCTGGAATAGATAAATCCAGTTACATGTTAACTAAACTGCGAAAAGTAAAGCGATTCACTTTTGGAAACATTGTGAATTGATGAATTAAATTGAATCTATTATTACTTTGAATTAATGAAAGTAGACAAAGTAATAGTGGGTAAGACAATATTAAAACAAACAAACGAGAAACCAATTAGACAAAGAACATTATAAATTGGTTGATGTAGTTACCTTACTTTCATACTTTCAAAAAAATTAAAAACCTTTTGAATTGAATGAAGCATTTATTGAATAATTTATTGAGTTGCATTTATCTATATATGTTAAAATTCAGAGTTCTATAATCATATGAGTGGCACACTCTACAGGTTAGACCTTTAAACTTTAGACCTTTTGGTGAAATAATTCAAAAAAGGATTCAGAAACTCATCAAAGACTAAAAAGCATCAGAAAAACTTCCTAGTCATCATACATGTTAGACCAAATACTAGCTTAGGTTCTAAACACCATGCTGGGGCTTGTTGTCAGCAATCAAATAAAAACAAAGGAAGCACAAACAACACTGTAGCTCTTAGGTAGATGGGTGGGAAGAGAAATGAGACACTGATGTGAGGAGGAAGGCTCAGTGTTAGAGCAGATAAAACAAGTGGTAGCAGATGTATGTGAGAGGAACTGAGGGTGTTATAGTAGATACAGTGGGAAATAAGGAATGAACTGTAAGTGTTGGAGGGAAGTTATAAACACATTGTTACTGGGATATTGTTAGCATAGAAGCATTACATTTTATCAGGAGATCTTCACCCAAAACACCCTACAGTACTGTGATTCCATATGTTTCTGACACCTTTCTAACAACTTGTTAGGAGAAAGACATGACACAAAAGGTGTTGTCAGAACTGGCCTGCTTGACATACAGGTGTTGCTTCTACCTTAGAGGCATTTTATAGCCAGACTGTAAAACTGTTGAATGAGAGAAAAAAGAAAGAAAGAAAGAAAAAATAAAACAAAAAACAAAAAACAGTTCTTTGTAGAATGAAAAGCTGCATTTATGAGCAATAAATTGTAACCGTGCTCATCTCTATACTCTGGGATTTTGCATCACAGAGGAAGTAACATCACACCTCTCAGTGAAGAATATTTTGCTTGTTGTGTACTCTCTTTTAATGAAGTCACCTTACTTTGTCTCTGCACAATCTTTGTCAGTTAACACTCTGAACCCCAAAATTGCCTTGCATATTTAAAAGACATGTTTTGTTTTTTAAAAAATTGTCAAAATGACATGCCAGGAACTGTTCAATTTGAAAGAATCCAGAGTTTCAGCTTTTTGACAGTATTTGAACAACTTGTGTGATGTGCGCTTCCATCAGAGAACTCAATCAAATATAAGCTTAAAATTGTAATTTCAACAACATTACTAAATACTGCATTTCTCTTTCAAAAATAAACTTTTAATGTCTTTATTTAGTAAAAAACTAAATATACAACACTTCTTGCCACAACAGGGTATATAGTCATGAGTGACTCAACTACAGTCATGTTTTAGCTGAACTGCAAGCTGTGTATACAGAGCAGAGAGCAGACGTGTATGGAAACACATTAGAGAGATTGAGAGGAAAATAAAACATACTTGATCAATAAAAATAAATGGCATGGTATATAAAACTGTCAGCAAGTTGAACATTTAGCTTGGAGAAAGATCCATTTAGCATGGTGAAACAGAGTTTCCTTGAGTGGATGGGTAAAGCAGTGTGAACATGTCTGGTTTTTAAAGGCTGTCAAATTGTAAAGCAATAAAATATCTATCGTATGCTGAGCCAGCATTTCTTTCAATATTGTGTTACACTTGGAACAAAAAAAATTGTACATGTTAATTTTCAATTTATTTTAAATCAATAGTCAAACAACTTCAACTTTTGTCAATTCTTTTTCTGTGTCATACTGGACAGAGGGTACTTCAGTTTTTTGGGTTTTTTTCTCTCTTTTTTTCTACTAGCCACAGTTGTGCTGTTTCCAAGGAAGTGCAGGACAGGAAAAAAATGTCCAAAAATGGATTCAGAGGATTAACATGTTGTCATCTTATAATTGGTACTTGTTGCTATCGGTGCCAGAACTGCATGAAATGTGTTTTACTTTGCTGAAAAAGAAACACGGCTTCATTGATCATAGGTCTTCATTGCACCCTACAACAACATGCTGATGAGCATTAGCACCGTGGAGCATGAATGCATACCTTGTGTGCAGTGACAACTTCAAATGAACATTAGTGCTGGTAAAAAGGCCATCTTAGCCAGCCATGAGTAACCACAGCAAATCCCACAGAAGTCTATCATTCATGTATGTAGTGCATAAAGCGAACATTTAGAGCATGGAAACATGTCACTCAAGAAGAAAGCTCAGAAGAGCATCTGTCCTCTGGATGTATTAAGTAAGTCCTATATCTTTGTGTACAAATGCTGCATAAGAGTGTCAGGGGTATTAGCAAAATTATGATTCTTTGAGAATGTTATAGCAGTTCGGCCAGTAGTTGCTGAGCTTTTTGCAATAGACAAAGTGTCAGACAGATGGACAGCCTGACTGGCTGACATCACCTGATTTCGCTCTACCAGAGAAGAAAGAAACATCTATGTGCTAGATATTTTTGCTAACTATTGTTTTTTGTGCTAACTATTTTTAAGAAAATTATTTAATGCAAGTGTCTAATATCAACAGTACTCGTTTTTTTAACAGCCTAAAGCTCTGAACTATGTACAAATATCAGTGAGAGACACTTTCATTGACAACCTTGACAGCTGCCAGCTCACCCATGTAATACATTTACTTCTAACACCATCTGCTCTGACCTTAAGTCGAGAGGAAAGACAGGCTTTGTAACACTTCATCGGCACATTGGTTTCTAAGCACTTCTAGAGGTCAGGGTTGCTGGTAGCCCACTGCATAAGCCCAGGAGTAACACAGCTGAAGCTTAAGGGCAAAAATAGTGTAGTGCGCCTGCCAACAGGTACTCAATTCATTCAGTTTTTCACTGTTGTGTGTCTTTATATGAGACTTTGATAGAGTATGTATCAGTAAACTAGTCTGAAGGACATGCTGTGATGAATGATCAGATTGTAACGGGGTATATGGCATATTTTTATTGAAGAAACTGATTTATGTTTAATGTTTTTAAAATGTTTTTTTTTTTCTTGTCTTTGAAATTTGTTTGTGTTTCTACTGATGGCACTCGATTTTGATTTAGACATGTTTTTTTTGTGATTCTTCTCAACTATTCATCCTTTTTCATCCTCTGTACTCTAAGCACTTTTTGGATTTTTATTTTTCTTTCTTTTTTGCTCCTGTCACATTTTTGCTGCATGGACTGTGTTTGATTGTGAGATTTAAGATCAACTCCACTTTTCCAAACGGAATTTCCAGGAATGACAGCTTACAAATTTATCGTTACAGTTGTGTCCATTGTTAATAACATTCATTAATACAGCTTGAACATGAAGATGCTGTTGATGCAGCCATCAGCTATGTTCAACACTTTAGCAATGTGTGTCAGTTGTTAATCATGAGGAGACAATACAGTTTTAATACCTTTTGGAAATTATTACAATTTTTTCCCAAATTACCCAGAAATCCTTTGATTTGAGTCAGTGCAACCTTGTCAGCATGCTTCTGTTAACAAACTTGGTAAAGTTTTACATCAGATACCAAAGATACAACAAAGGCAAAAGATATTAGTATGACTTGGTTCTCTGAAACTTCATATATTACAGTAATACATTTTTATTTTAAATCTAGTTTTGCCATCTTACACATTTAGCTTGAAGATTAACAAAAACATTTCTTTAGAGTAAGATGAATTTTCATGTCAGTAGGGATGCAGGGCTCTATGGATATTTATTTGTTTGTTTGTTTTTAAATTGAAAATCATTGCCCATTACAACTTTAACAGCTAGTTTGTTGTTTCATTCCAGGCTTCCTGTGTACAGCAGCAGCAGACAAGTGTTTATCATCTCCCTGCTACAATGGTGCCACATGTCTCGACCACCTGGGAGACTATGTATGCCTGTGCCCCAAAGGACCCGTGTGGTACATGGGCAAAAACTGTGATGAGCTGTATGATGCCTGCATCATGGCACCTTGTACCAACTGCACCAGCACACCTGGGACTGATAATTTCACCTGCCACTGCCCAGACGGCTTCACAGGGCTCAACTGCACCCAGGATATAGATGAATGTCAGAGCAACCCCTGCAAGGGTATTAAGTCCTATTGTGTCAATGGACTCAATGGCTATTTGTGTCACTGTCCCATTGGATTTGGGGGGGGGGACTGCCAGGGCAATGTGACCACTTGTTCAGAGGAAACATGCCAGAACGGTGGCAAATGTATAGACATCCCTGACATTGGGCCTCGGTGCCAGTGTGCTGCTGGGTACCAGGGAACAAACTGTGAGGAAAACACTGATGAGTGCCACTCTGAGCCCTGTCAGAATGGAGCCATCTGTAAAGACGGGGTCAATGCCTACCAGTGTTTCTGTGTGCCTGGATTTCAAGGCTACCACTGTGACTTGGACATCAACGAGTGTGCCTCCCGACCTTGTCAAAACAATGGCACATGTTTGGATGAGGTGGATCACTACAGGTGTGACTGCGCTCCAGGCTTTAAAGGTAATACACTGTGTGAAGTAGGTCAACTTTTCAACTGGCTGGGCTTTTGAAAGGAGAGACTGATGCTTTTTGACCACCTCCTAGCTAACAAACTCTTATTGATAATGAATACATTTGACCATTTTCATTTTTAAGCAGTCATTGACTGCTGTAAACTCATTTCAGGTAAAAACGCAAATAAAACTACAATCAGAGAAGACACTTTAATGCAAGGCTCAAGTACCAAGAGGTTTAAAGGGTTAAATACTTCAGAGCAGACTAACTCCACTTGCTTTGCCCAGTGGAGGCCAGGGTCCAGTTAGTAAACAAGCAAAAATGTTTTTCACTGATATAACATATATCTAATTAGAAATACATATTTATATATATAACATTTCTGAATTTTAATTAATGAAAAAAAAAAACAACAAACAAACCAAAACAAAAAAGTATCCAGTGTGAATACATTTATTTTCATTGTAAATGAATGAAATGAAAAATACTTTATTTATCCCAGAAGGGAAATTCAATTAAATAAAGTAAAGTAAAGTAAAGTAAATCAGAAAGTGCTTTGCAGGCAAGCAGCCTGAGAAGATTTTGATTTAAAAACAATAATAAATTAGTTATTGTCGTTTGGTTCACTTTCCAATTTCATGAAATTTGAGACCATTTCATTGCACTCGGCAAGCCTCATGCAATGAAATGGTCTACAATTGTTCTCAGATCAGACTGGATATCGTATGTGTGATGGATTATCTATACACCTTGGTAGAATGATTGTATCAACTTCAGGGGTTGATGTATTTTTGGCTTGATACTCATCGTACATGCTACAATACTGTAGAATAATGTCATGTTGCTCGCTCAGTGCTGAGGGGTACTTCTAAACATATGACTACATTAAAGACAGTTACCATAATTTTTGGTTTAGTTTACTTTTATCATTAAATATTACAGCTGTATTACCTGCTGTATAATAGTCGGAGTCAGTAAAACACAGCCAAAAATGTACCACACTTTCAAGGGTGGAGCAGCCTAACCGGAAAGTCAGTGCAGTACAGTCTTAGCTTCACAGATTCACCAGCAAATTTCCCACAAAACTGAACTGTTCGCAACACATACACAAATCGACCTCGTGGTAACTCACGTGCTATAGATCAGAACCAATGTGCCACGTCCCTCCCTGTGGAGCCCAATGGTGACCATGTGTCACTCGCATGTGCAATATCCGCCTACGGTATTTTACATGAAAATACTGAATTCTCAGCACAGCTGAGTCATCAGCACAGTTGTTCCATTGTTCTGACACCAAAAACACAAAAAGCATGGAAATGAGAACAACTTTAGTGGGAACTGGGCTGCATTAAAATGCAGTATATTTGAGCACAGAGAGTAGGAAGGAAGCAGAGTCATGTAAACACTAGCTGAGTTTAGGTTTTCCTGAAGCACGATAAAGAAGAAGAAATCCAGAATTTTTGTTTTTCATTTCTGACTTTAAAATTGGTCCCTCTCAGGAGTATGACAAAAAATATCAGTACGTCTGGCAGTAGAAATCATCACAGACAGTATGCTACGGTATGTTTACCTCAATCTGAACAGCAAGACTGATTGAACTTTAGCAACAGTCCTTGTATTAAATTAACATTATTCTGTGTTGTTGCCAGTCTGTAGCTGAGCTTCTGGCAGCTCCATGGTTATTTTATTGTTTTGTTGTGTTAAGATAATTAGTGTGTTGCCAGTCTCATGTCTTGGCCCACTGCCATCCCTGCTCTGTCTCCTGCAGGGATTAACTGTGAAGTGGAGATCGATGAGTGTGAGGTCCATCCTTGCCAGAACGGCGCCACCTGTCGAGACCACGTTGCCATGTACTCATGTGACTGCATGGCCGGCTTCCAGGGCCAAAACTGTGAGGTCAACATTGATGAATGTGCCAGCATGCCTTGTCTGAATGAGGGCAAGTGCATAGATGGGGTCAGCAGGTATGGTTACAGACACAGCATGTTACCATCAGTTCAGAGTACATTACACTGACTTACATTCTGTCACAAAAGCTGTTATTGTTGTGGATTCAAATGCATGGCAAGATAAGAATGGTGTGGACACTGCTGAGCACAGTTTATTGCAGACAGTTGTAGAGAAGGAGGGAGTGCTCGGAGCCAGGAGCAAGAGTTAGGCAGGCAGAAAGGTGATCTGGTTAGCTAGGCAGTGCTCATATAGACAGGGAAATGGTGGTATGGGACTTGGAGGGGTGGGTGACGGATTACCTCAAAGAAAGCTGAGCTGAGTTAGCGTAGCTGGTGACAGCAGGACTTGATCAGAGTGAGTAGGCAGTTAACACATGGCAACAAGAACCCTGAAACACAGAGAGAGCAGAAGGGGTTTGATGATCTATAACACGCAGGAAACCACAAGAAACACAATATGGAACAAAAGAACTTCAACTTCAACTTTAACTTTATTATTTGTCCCCGAAGAGCGATTTGTTATGCAGCAGCTTACACAAGCGTTCACAATAACACAATGACAACAGTAAAAAACAAATTGAAGGAAATGTCTTTTAAAAAGCAAAGAAACACAATAAAAACAATTTAAAAATACGCAAAACATGAGACAGACAGGGACATTAGCAGAAATCTTGGTCATTCATTCAGTCAGGTGTATTCCAGTCAGCAGCAGCAAGGTAGAATGAATGAAGCAAGAAAGGCTAGTGTGATGCATTCGAGAACCCATTCTACCCTACAGCTAAACACACTTGTGTTTACAGTCTGTGCTCATACTCACACATACAACTTAAGTTTAACTGCAATAATTTGACCTTTAGAGAAACAACACATTAAGGTGATGAAATAATGTGAAGACTTAAACTCTAAAGCAACATGAACATAGTTACAAATTGTATGTACACATAGACATATGCATACTGAAAGGGTCCGATACAGTGTTAAATACATCAATGTCCAACCAACAGATAGCTGATATGAGTTTTAAGACTAATATGTTATAAGAACTCAAAAGTAATTACATTTCCTGAGCCCAAACTCTGTGTCAATTCCCTCGAGAGCAAGTTTTGCCACTTGGCAGCGATCTTAGTCACGCCTCTGGGCAAGTTATTTCCAACTAGCAAGACTAGGTCCCTATCTAAATGACTGGAGAGAAAGCCATAACTGTAACTTCAGTTGTCACTGAGGAATTAAAACTGTCGCCAGTCAAATCTAATACGAAAAAAAAAAAAATTGCTTAAAAACAAGTTTTACAAAGCATTTTGCCCCAACAATTATGCTTCTATTACACATATGCATAGCAAACCAACAACAAAAACAACAACAACAACAACTATGACTACTACTACTACAACCATTACTACTACTACTACTACTATTACTATGATTACTATTACTATTACTACTATTACTATTACGATTAAGATTCCTATTACTACTATTGCAAGGTGGTGCAGTTGGTAGCACTGTTGCCTTGCAGCTAGAAGGTCGCCAGTTGGGGGGCACCGGGATCTTTCTTGGATGGATGGCTTATTATTATTATGATTATGATTATGATTATTATGTTCTCTCTGTGCAGCGTGGGTTCTCTCCGGGTTCTCCGGCTTCCTCCCACACAGTCTAAAAACATGCTAAGATTAATTGGTGATTCTAAATTGTCCGTAGGTGTGAATGTGAGTGTGCTTGGTTGTCTGTCTCTAAGTGTAGCCCTGTGATAGA